CGAGTGTCCCCATCGGAAGACACCTCCCGTGACTCATCCAGCTCTAACACAGACCGGCCACTGCACCCACCGATGGACGCTACCCGAGCACTGCCGACTAGCACTGGGCTGTCCTCCATCTTGCTCTCCCTCCCGACCAAACAAGTCATGGCGGAGATGGTATCAAGGATGAAAGCAGCCCACAAGCGGGACATAGCAGGTCACAACGCTGTGTCACAGCATTCGGGTCCAGGTATCCTACACCAAGAATCTCGACTCAACTCAATCTACCTGGCCCATGACGATCTGGAAAACCGCTCCGGCCGCAACAATGTAAAGCTGCGCGGCATACGCGAAACAACGACATCTGCGGACCTCCGCCCCAGTACACTGTTACACGGTGAAGGAAGCCATTATCCGGCAGGCCTGGTGCAAGGGCTCGGTCACCTTCGAAGGAGCGGAGGTCACCCTTCTCCCAGATCTGTCCAGGCGCACCCCGCAAATGCGCCGGATACTCCAACCGCTACTCGCTGAAATACGGAGAGCGGCAGCCCTTTATTCCTGGGGCTCTTTCTGCCTTAACATCCGCAAAAGAACGGGGAGTAGTTCATACTTCGGCACCCAGATCAGCTACCAGCCCTCTTCTCTTTCTTAGAGGTAACTCTTGTGGAGATCCTTGACTGGCTCCCGGACATGACTCGCTGCTTGCCTCAGCGCAACCGACGTCGAGCCTTCTCCAGCTCAGGACCCCAACCTCAAGTACCTGCATCTCCCGCTGAGGATATGGAACCCTGCAGCAACGTATGGGATCCCACCTTCCGGGAATTGTGAAGGACTCACCACTACGTCCTTCGAACCGCGGCAGGACTTTGAGGAACCCGCTCTGAAGTGCCCACCCATCACCTGTCTTCAGTCATGACCACTGCCATATCCCGGGATGGTGACGTACCATCACCCACCACTATCCCCAGCACCATCCCATCTACGGGTGATGTACAACCGCAGGGGGTTACTAAAATGTAATGCTAGTTGCTTATGTGGTCTAGCCGCATACGCGTGGGGTGAAGGGGGGACTCGGTCTCTACCGGGACTGACCCCCCCCCCCCCCCCCCCCCCCCCC